AGAATCCTATAAGGTAACCTCAAAAAGGAACTACTATGGGGCCTATGAATACAGGGGCCTTCAAGGCTGAAACAAAAACAAAAGGGTTCTGGAGTATCTCAGCCCTAGACCCTCAAAGGGAGCACAGTATTAAGCGCTAAACCCTCGCCCCTCAACCCCTAAACCCTAAACCCTAAGGCCTCAAACCCTAAACAATAAACCCTAACTCTAAACTCTGACCCGAAACCCTAAAGCCTCAAACCCTAAACCCCGAAAGCAAGAACTCGCTGGCAGCGCCTGGGACGCGGTGCCCGGCCTGAAGGATAGATCCGGGTCTTCAGGGCTTAGGGCTTAGGGCATAGGGCATAGGGCATAGGGCATAGGGCTTGGGGGTTTAGGGGTTTAGGGGCTTAAGGGTTTAGGGTTTAGGGTTTAGGGGTTTAGGGGTTTAGGGGTTTAGGGTTTAGGGTTTAGGGGTTTAAGGGTTTAAGGGTTCAGGGGTTCAGGGCTTAGGGCTTAGGGTGTCTTCATAATAGTTCATAATGAAAGGGTTTGGGGTTTGGAGGGTTTCGGTCGGAAACAAAGGGTTCTATACGGTTGTTATATGGCAGTATAGGGGCCTGAAGAAATACAGACAAGGTTCCGTTTACAGGGCTCGGTTGGGTGACAGGAACCAGGTATGTTCTGAAACCCCTATGCAGCCCTAAATATAAACCCGTAAACCCTCAACCCCTAAACCCGTAAACCCGAAAACCCCTAACCCCTAAACCCCTAAACCCAAAAACCCTCAACTCCTAAACCTGAAAACCCCAAACCTGAAACCCCTTAACCCCAAACCCTACACCCTACACCCTAACCCTTGACCCTTAAACCCTAAACCCTACATCCCTTAACCCTTAAAACCCCTAAAACCCTAAACCCTTGACCCTTAAACCCTAAACCCTACATCCCTTAACCCTTAAACCATAAACCCTCAACCCCTAAAGCCCTCAACCCTACACCCCTAAACCCGAAAACCCTCAAAAGCAGCCCCTGCAGCCTGCAAACCCTAAACCCGAAGAACCTAATTTGGAGAACTACCCGTATACTACCCTTGTAGTACCCCTATAGATACCCTTACAGATCCCTTGAAGGATCCCTAACAAGGCCCTCAAAAGCAGCCTGCAGCCCGCGGCCCTAAACCCCAAACCCTCACCTCAACCCCTAAAGTCCTAAACCCTGCATCCCTAAACCCTTAAACCCTGCACCCTTAAACCCGTCCCTCAAACCCTACATCCCTTAACCCTTAAAACCCCTAAAACCCTAAGAACCCTACATCCCTTAACCCTACATCCCTAAACCCTAAACCCGAAGAACCCAGCCAAAGCGAAAGCAAAAGCAGCCTTTGCCCTAAACCCTAAACCCTAAACCCTAAACCCTAAACCCTAAACCCTAAACCCTAAATTTGGCCTGGCTTTGGTCTTCGCACTGAGCTCCAGGCGAAAGGCGCCGGCTCTCTCGGGGATCATAGCCTGCTTGAGCCGCTTGAACTGATAGGGTTTAGGATTTAGGGTTTAGGGTTTAGGGTTTAGGGTTTAGGGTTTAGGGTTTAGGGTTTAGGGTTTAGGGTTTAGGGTTTTAGGGTTTAGGGTTTAGGGTTTAGGGTTTATGATTCCCTGTTGGGGCTATATTAACATGACCACGTTTAATCCTTGTTGGGTGTTTAGTATAACGAACCTGTATAATTGTATCCAACAAGGACCCAGTGAATTAAGGACGGGACAACAACAGGAGGGCTTGCTTTGTAGTTTGTTCTACGCGGTTTAGAGCTCACAGAAGCCATAAACAATTAGAAACTAGACTTCAGATTGACTAATATTCGGACTCGAGGTATTCCCCATCATCGCAAGGTATCGAATCGGACTCTTAGACTAATTAGAGCGCAGCAGGCAGGAGAGAAGAAAGCCCATGTCTGCAAGGGCATTTCGCTGAGGCTGAGGAGCCGGCCCTCCAACTGGTCCACGCAGATTCCCGGAAACCACCCCGTGGTCTCTTCGCCTTCCTTTCAGCGCATCAAGTCAGGTAGAGCGTGAGGAGCCGCTCATTGCCATGCAACTCGCTGTGAGATGTGAAGGCTATAGTTTATAAAGTTTCGGGGATTTTGGCCTGGCTGACCCATCCGAGTCATCCCGCGGAGTGACTGGGACCGGAAGCTCCGTTGCTCTACACTCAGAGGTCCTATTCCCGCTCTGTCGTACCGGCTTTCACGACTACCAAACACTGAAACTCTGCTTCGGTGGCTCCTTGTGTCCTCCCCACCAGCCAGTCTCATCCTGAAGAGCAGCTTATGCTTCAAGGGGCTTGGGTAGGCTCTGGACTGTAGAGCTGGCACTGCCGGCTCGATCAAACGTTTCAATGCCGCAGCATACACAGGACAATGGCTGGACGAGGGGCCTTCTCCATCACGATGACAATGTCACCAACCTTGCTTCGACATTTTCGATTGGGTGCGGAACCAGAGAGACAGAGAGAGAGAGAGATCTATGCACGTGCACCTTCAGCGTGAGCTGGTCTTCGTCGGTTGCATCGTGCTTCTTTACGACGACCGTCCGAATCAACCTCGCTGCAGCGACGTCTTCGCAGTCTTAGACAGTAGCGGCCGGGGATCCCTGCTCGTACTGCGCGTCAGACCTCGCACGGAACACAGCTTCAATACTCTGGTGCATGTCAGATGGGTGGTTGTCAAAATTAGGGTCCCTTTTTGGGTCCTTGTTTGCATACGGCACCTATTATTTAGGGTACCCCAAAAGGGACCATTATTTTTGACAACTACCCAGATGCGTTAAGACCGCCACCAGTATGGATCCGGATCCACCATCTTCGCAGCTTCGTTGGGTCGCTCTACAGCGTTGAAACGAAAATGCTCTACCTCTAAGTCCGCGTCAAAACTTAGCGTAGTGCACCTGCCCGCAGCAAGATTTTGCATGCAAGCCGCAGAACTACAGGAGTCGTCGATACCTGCTTGCAGCATTGTGGCACTTTACCGAAGCCATTCCTCTATTTAGTCCACAAGAGCGTTCTCAGAAGGCTTGGATTCGCTCGAGCTACAACAGCGGCATTGCGCAAACTTGCGATGCCGAAGGCCACTTAACTTGCATTGGCTGAGTCGGGATCAAGGTGGAAAGTGCTACAAGGGGGTTTCCGAAAAATAGGGGACCCTAATATAGTACCCTTAAATAATAGGATCCTTATTATATGGACCCAAAATAAGGTACCCCTAATTTTCGGAAACTCCCACAACGGACTCAAACAGAGAAATTGACAGAGGGCCCTCCCCTTTTTCAGTCGGAGTCCGAATCAATGCCCAAAGTGGAGGCGAGGCGAAGGGCGACTTCCTGGCGGGCGATATGAAAAACCAGGAGAAGGCCCTACCCATAGGCCCCATAGTAGTTCCTTTTTGGGATTACCTTATAGGATTCTAAGTATGAACCCCAAAAACGAACTACTATGGGGCCTATGGGTATCTCAGAGGACAACATGCCGGAAGAGCGCATGCACGCTCTTTGCGAGCGGCATGATCCGCCATGCTTCGGATGTCCTTCATCTCGCCAGCCAGCTTCTCAAACTCCTGGTGCAGTCTTCTTCAGCAAACCGCAAAGGCTTTGAGCGCGAAGACGGACATGTACCATACAGCTATTTCAGCTTTTGTGTCAAGGTCGGCGGCTCCTCTGCAGCCTCAAACTCGTCGTCTTGGGCTTCAAGAGCCTGGCTTCTCGTTTGATTAGATGATGTCGAAATGGATCCCTCCTTGGATGACCCCTCTCTTTTTCCAAACACATTTGGGGTCCGAAAATAGGGGACCCTAACATAGTACCCTAAATAATAGGATCCCTATCATAAGGACCCCAAAATAAGGTGCCCTAATTTTCTGAAACTCCCATTTGGCACGGTTGCACCTGGTATCCGTTCTTACCGGCTTCGGCATCAGCCCTTCCGACTTGATCCGCAGAATCTTCGATCGCGTCGAGTCCAGCTGCTGGCTCGACTACGGCGGGCCTGCCCATCGGCGGCCCCAAGCACGAGTAGCTAGCTAATAAACCCCTCCTCTTCAATGAGGACTATCAGTGCCCTAAACCCTAAACCCTAAACCCTAAATAGTACCAGGCCGTGAAGGACAATGAGTGTTGCATCGGCTTGCTTGCTGAAGGCCTGGATTGCTCGTCGACTGTCCGCTGAGTTGAGCGGGCCTCACACACTGAGCTTAAACATGTTTCACAGCCACAGCCATGTACTAAAGGGGCCTTGATAGTTAGAATGGGGTGTTGGGGTATACTATACCATAATTGCAAGAATGAGCCATTTAGGCCCCCTTATATTACATGCTTCACCTCGAATGAACTTGGCCCCACGCCTTTGGCTCCAGACCCGTCCACGACGCATGGCATTCCAGGGCCTGGACATGCTCTAACATTACTTGGAGGATCATGGGACTAAGTAAGGTTATAAGTCCCCTAATTGCGGTTACAAGTATGTTTACTTTAGTTATAACCCTACCTACTAAGTCCCACGATCCTTTAACATTAGCCATAGGCCCCATAGTAGTTCCTGTTTGGGATTACCTTATAGGATTCTAAATATGAGCCCCAAAAAGGAACTACTATGGGGCCCTAAACCCTAAACTACTATGGGGGCATGTGGGTAGCGGCGTCGACAGCCCCTCCTTCGCAGAGACCGTGTCTGGTTCCTTCATGGGGCTATATCGAACATGATCATTGTTCATCCCTATGGGGTTTTAGGGTTTAGGGTTTAGGGTTTAGGGTGTAGGGTTTAGGGTTTAGGGTTTAGGGTTTAGGGTTTAGGGTTTAGGGTTTAGGGTTTAGGGTTTAGGGTTTAGGGTAACGAAACTGTAAAACCCTAAAC